TTGGCAGAAGGATAAAGCCTTGTGTTTGTTGTTTCATATCATGTTGCTTAATTCAGAATCCTTTTCATGCTTTTCCTCTCTTCTGCTGTACTGTTTTATGATCGTGATGATGAGTCTCTCTCACCGCGTTCGCCTTCTCAAACTTCACCACAGCCTGGTCCTAAGTTCCACCAGTTATGTCTTGATTTTTATACACCTGGTAATGTCTGAATTTAATTAATTTTTTTTCATTTATATACTAATTATTATATACCTATGCATTAATTATTACGTATTTTAATAATTTAGTTTTCTCTTTTTTCATAAGTTTTCTCTCATTTTTTCTAATATAATCTTTTGTACTCTCTACTCTTACTAAAATATGAGATAAACTATGTTGAAACGACTTTTTTTTTATAAGATACTAATATCTACTTTTGTCTACGAATTTGATGAGTTTTTTTTTTCAATTTTACCCCTAACATGTATACCTTGTATAGTTTTTGTTTTAAAATGATTTTAACTAATTTCTTGATAAACGTAATAGATAAAGTTTATCATATATTTTTTGAAGTAGAGGGTGTATTATTTTTCTACTCATTCTCTCACTTGCACTTCTTATAAAAAATAAAGGTGTATTTGAAAACAAAATATAGGAATTTTTTTTGGGATATAGGACAGGAAGGAGTACAATACAACACTTTTGTAAAATTATAATAGTAATAAGTCAGATTTTTTTTTTTAAAAAAAATAATGTGCGGGGAAGGCGTGCTGTATTTGATTTTTTATTGGTTGGTGGATAAGAAAGACCAAAACTAAAGGGTGTTTGGGTATCCCTAAAAACACTTCTCAGAGGTATTTTTTACAAATCGAGACAACTCCTCTGCATATGTTTTTGATCTGTGGATGAGAGGTGTTAGGGACACACTGTGAGCTATATGTTTTTGAATAAGGGGAGTCTTCATTGGCTTGCATTGAGATGTGAGAAGCGCAGCTGTCACTAAGCATGTGGTCAAAGGATGGACCAGTAAATATAGGCCCAATACTAGGCCCATGTATGTGGATGGACCGACCCAAAATGAACCTCTGTTGAAAACTGTCATGTGCTCGGACGTCAAGACGGAGGATGAACGGTGTATTATCGAAAATTCAAAACACAAAAATGACGGAGGGAGGATGGATTCGTTCTTTTTTTTTTTTTTTTTTTGGGCAGAAGGATGGATTCATTCATAACAAAGAGGATCTTGCTGAGATTTTTTTTTTTAAAGCTTGACAGGGCATCGGTTGGCAGCAATACCTTATAGTCAAGTACCATATTCCTTCGTTAATATAAGAATTAGATAATTAATTTAATTGTCTTTTTAAAAATTTTTATCAATTATATGTATTAAAATTATATTTTTCTAAGATTTTTAATATATATGCAATTACTATAGAAATTACTTCGAGCAAAATATATGTAAGTATTGAAGATAAAGTAGATTGAGACTGCCAAATTGAATCTAACTAGCTCGAGGATCGAAAGTTGCACCATGTAAGGTCTCTTGCAATGGATAGTCATGAGTTTAACCCCACATAGTATCAAGTTGTCTGTCCCTTGAATTAAAGGAAAAGTATGTCAAAAAGGAAAAGAAGATGAACTAATTAATTGACACTTTTACAGGAAGACTAGAAGGCATTTATAAACCTTGAAAACAGTGACGGCTCATGCGTTGGCAAGTAGGGCTTTCATTTTCAAGAGATAGGTCGATAATATCCAACCCTCCACTTTTTATGTTGATGTCATCCATATTCTATTTAGACAATCTAAATTAATTATTTCTATCTTTTTAATCTAAATATCATTTTTTAAGTTTATTAAGATAATTATTACATGTGTACTATTATACATTTTCCCAAAATAAACTATAAAAAATTTCAGAAAAGTTTAAAAAAAAAAAAAGGAGAGAGGGGAAACACAATTATGGGGGAAATACTCGCTCATTTATTTATTGTTTTATATGCAACGGCAATACATATAGTAGAGTGTTCCTCTAGGGACAACTACATTCCAATATAGTGATGAACTTGTTATTGATGAAACGATCTTCCGGCTAACTGAAACTGAACTTTATATGACGAAGCATATCAGAGAAATTGAATCTTGTAAGGCACATCACTAAGGGCGAGATGCTCGTATCCATGGCGATCAATGTAAGTCCCAATATCTTTGCACTGAACCTTACAGGTTCTGCACACAGTTGGGCAGTAAACCAACTTATAAGCATCTTCATACTTCTCAATCTTGAACCAGTTCCTCACTGTTTGCCGACCAGGATTCCCCACAACCCCACCCGTCGTCACGAAGTACTGTCCGGTGGTATTATCGTAGTCGTCAAGCCTCCACACGTTGGACGAGTGAGGGCAACCTGTGTGTGTATTAACAGAGAAATTGATGTTCAGATCAGTAGAGACATGAATCTCACCTTTCTTGGGGTCAATGGGTATGAACAATGATGGTAGGCTCGGATCCTCTTGCACAGTAATTACGTCAGGTGGGCACTTTTTCCCGATTCTTACAACCTCAAGCCCACCGCTTGGGGGAGCGGGAACTGGAATTATGTAGTAACTCTGCGATCTGCTCGGAGCTTTGTGCCGCCAGAATCGAGAACTGGTTCCGGTTCTGCATTGGCTGCTCCTCCGAGCAGTGGCTTTATGCTCAAGGCGAAGAGAAGAACAAATGCTACCAATGTACGTGTGATCTTCATTCTTTGATATGAACAAGCTTTCTATTTTCGGTTTGGTTATTGATGGGAGAGAATCAGAGAACTAAGCATGAATTTATAGTGGGCGGAATCCTGCATGGACAAAACTTGGACTGGACAGTGGTCAAGGATTTCGAGCTATACGATTGGCAACAAGGATAAGCTCTGTGTCGATGTGGAAAGCACATTTGTCTTTGTCGTCTTACTTGGCCGCTATCTTTTGCTTTATTCGCGAGAAGCCCACCGGCTTTGACTAACACACACAGATAAATAAATACACTTGAAGAGTGCAATTTGCAAAATCTATTAATTGTTACCGCCTACCTTTCTCCTCTGGTTCATGACTCCTTTTGTAACGATGAATCGAACTTGGACAATGAAATGAGGTGTCCAATCTCGAGCAATCGCTACAAAAACAGTGAATTGTATCAATGAAATTATATTTTATCATCGCTAATTCATTGAAATTCTGTTACGATTTCCATCATTAAAATAATTAGTTTGCATTTTGAAGCTTAAAATTAGGTTTAAATCAAGTAATTAATTACTAATCTCAGTTGAACAAAAGTCCTAGGTATGTGCTGAAAAGATAATATGATTTTCAAGAATTAAATCACAAATTAATCTCTTTTTTTGGAGCCATAGCATAGATACTTTTTAGAGGCCATGGGAAAGTTCTAAGGGCTTAAATGAAAGGAGAACACTAACAGGGATTAAATGTAAAGTAAGAAGGGTTTGAATTAGAAAAGAAGAATATGAAAAAGATGTAGAGACCAAATCGTAGTTGTTAGAAGTTTAGATTACTTAAATGTAAACAAGTATTATGAAATTTCAGAATAGTGTCGGAGATTGAAAAGGGAACTAGAAAACATATGAAGTTAGGAAAATGATTGTATGCTACTACCTCCTGTTTTAAGAAGATTAAGAAAATTAGATAAATTACTTTAAAATATTACTCCTCCGTCCTTAATATAAGACCCATTTACTAATTTAATTAGATTAAGGAAGTTAGGTAAATTAGTTAATTATAAGAAAATGATACATTTTTTCTAAAACACCATAATCATCTTTCTTAATACCACCCCTCTCTTCTTCTACTTAAATGGTTGGGAGAGTATCCATAAGGGTAATTCAGAGAAAATTAAAAAATATGAGAAATGTATCTTATATTTCTGACCAAACCAACTCAAAATTGGGTCTTATATTAAGGATCGGAGGAGTATTTTTTTAACAAAATAATTTATTTAGCTTGTAACTGATTATAAGCTAATGATTTATATAAATATTTGAGGGAGATTATATTACATATGCTGCAGTTAGGTAATTTTTAGTTTTTCTTGATTTTCTTAAATTAGTCAATTATATTGGTCTTATATTACCTTCGGTCCTCAATATAAGAGTTTGTTAACTATTTGAGTAGATTAAAAAATTAGTTGAGTTAGTTGTTTATAAATATATATTGTTTTTTTCCTAAAATACTGTTATTAATCAAGTGCATTAGCATAGAACGACTATTTGATGAAATATTTAGCATGTAATTACTATAAGAACTAGCTTGGGAAAGATGAAAAAATAGTAGAGAAAAAAGATTGGGTCTTATATTTAGATCAAATTCACATCAAATTAGTTCTTGTATTAAGGATCGAAAGTAGTGTTAAGGACCAAAGATAGTATTTTTTTTTAAAAAAGAAATGTCTTCAAAGATATTGAAGAGGATTACATGAATGACAAGTTATGTGAAATCATTGCGTAATTTTTGAAGTTTTGGGTCTTATAAGTCCAATTTGATATGAAGCATTGAAAGTGATGGATAGGAGTTGAGATTGTACTTGAGAAGAATCATTAAAATAGTATTTAGTATGAGTAATGACTTGTTAAATGGGATTAGACAAACCCATAGAGGTGGGATTGGAAAATACCACTTCTCCCCATGGTGTTCCAAAATCCTGCATACATGTATTTGATTAATCCCATAAAACAAATAATTTCTTTTGCTAAACATTCTTTTAATAAATTTTGTCAATCTCAATCTCTTTCCCTACCCTTGATTTTTTAATGCTTCCTACCAAACGGGATTGGGACATAGATATGGCTGCACATCTAATTTCATTGCCCACAATATCTTCATATTTTATTTAGACGATCTAAATCATTTATAAATATTTGTGAATTTTTTAACTTTTTATAAGTGGATGGTAGGATAATTACAATATATGTGTGCACTATATAGTCTCAAAACGAAAATATAAAAACGTAAAAGATAAAAGGACACTTGCATGCATGGGCATAAAAAGCTCAACCAGCTTATTTATTTATTCGTTGTTTTATTAGTCGGAGATAGCAGGATATAGAAACCCAGCTGCTTGGGAAACCTATAAATTATACATTACTCATGAAATTCTTGTTGATGGAGCAATCTTCAGGCTCTCTGAAACTGAACTTTGTACGGCGAATCGCTCAAAGCAAGACGCTGGTTTCCGTCGCTATCAACATATATCCCAATACCTTTGCACTGCACAGTACAGTAACTGCACACAGTTGGGCAGTACATCAACTTGTAACTATCTTCATACTTCTCAATCTTAAACCAATTGCTCACTGTTTGCCACCCTGGATTGCCGGTGACCCCACCCGTCGTCACGAACCACTGTCCGGCGGCATAATCGTAGTCGTCGAGCTTCCACACGTTGGACTGAGGACAATCTGTGTCTGCAGAGAACACGACGTTGAGATCAGTAGAGACACGAACGACGCCTTTCTTAGGGTTGACGGGTGTAAACGACAATGGTTGGCCGGAGTAGCCTTGGACAGCCACAACATCTAGTGGGCATTCTTCTCCTATGCTTGCAAGAGCAAGCCCACCGCCGTTTGCGGGAATTACGTAGTAATTGGCTCCTGCTCGGACCACTTTGCCGGAAGTATCAACAACTTGTTCTGGTGCGGCATTGGCTGCTCCGAGCAGTGGCTTTGTGGTGAAGACGAAGAGAAGGAAGAATGCTGCAAACGTGATCTTCATTCTTTGATTTGAATGCTCACAAACTATAGCTTTCTTTTTGGTTTGATTATTGCTGATGGGAGATGATCGGAGAATTGAGCATGAATTTATAGTCACAGTGATGGCGGAATCTATGGACTTACTTGCACTTATTTTCAACGATTTCGACTTATACGATTGGCCATAATGAAAAACTCTTTCCATTTAAAGTTGCTAAGCTGAAGTCTTTCTAAAAATTTCTTTTCCGTTGAAACATGAAATTAAAGAAGTGTTTCTCGCCGGTTCCCGCCTAACAGTATACTACTTTCGTGTTCCAGTTGACCTCTATGCCTTGCTTTGTTCGTAAAGCTATTTTTATGAACTATGGATTGTATAGAACATAGGAAGCTCCCGTCTATTTTTTATATTTTTAAATAATGAAATGCATTATTTGAAATTCCTTACAAACAATAGGAAGGTTTATATATATTTTCATATACATAAAACACATTTATTTTTAATTTTTCGTCAAGCACCTAATTTTCTGATTAGCCTAATTAAAGTTCGAGGATTAACTTTTTATTTTATTCTTTATATTTTTTAAATGAATAAATTAAAGTAGTGCTTGTGTTTCTTGGCGACGCTGATAACGATAGTTCCAGCATTGAGGAACAAAGTTTTTCACTTAATAAAGGACATTTTAATAAATATATTTTGATATTTAATCTCATTAAAGTCCTTTGGAATTTAAATGATTTATTAATTCAAACGAGTTAACTGCAATTAGGATCTTTACAAATTAAAGAATCTGATTGACAATTTTTCCTTTTTATAAATTGTGCGGTTTTGTGTAGATATTTTGAATTTCAGCTTTTTACTTTACAATATGGTTTCTCAAAATATGATAGAGAAAATTGTTTAAACCTACCATGCGGTAAATGCACAAAGCGCATCTAGTAATAAAGTTATGAATAAAGTATTATGATTCCCACAGTAGCTCGGTTTAGCAATATTGACAATAAAGCATAAACTACAATAAGAAAAATAAATCTAAAACACGACTAATGTTAACAGTGGTTCTAATTAAATCATGCTCATACGTTGGAGGGTGTTAAGAATATTATGCTCAGTTTGGCCAACTATATTCCACTCAGATATTATTAGCATAAGTAGTAACTTGGATTATTATTACAGCCTCGATCACTTCTTAATTTGTGGGTCTAATTTTCCTCTTTATTGCAATAAAAGTTGTATATGCTAGTAGGTTTCTTAATCATCCATTAGTGTCTTCTGAAGAGCACGTATTCTAATTATACTAACCCCTAGGTCCCAGTTGGTATGAAGTATTAAAAATGAAGAATAGAGATTAGGATTATAATTGAAAAAATCTATTAAAAGAAATTTTAGCATGAGAAATTGTTTATTACGTGGGATCAGACAAATCTATGTACATAGAATTGGGAAATACCATAGGGAGAAGTTGTATTTTCCAATCGGCCCACTTTCATGGGTTTGTTAATCTTATATAACAAACAATTATTCATGCTAAATGCTTTTTAGTAATTTTTTTAATTGTAATCACAGTTCCTATCTCTTATTTTTTACGCTTCGTACCAAATGAGACCTAGTTCTTCAACTAATTACTTGATTGGACTTGACTAAGCCAAATCAAACGTGACATAGTCAAGGGGGGGTTGGTGTTCATTCCAATTCTAAAAAGAGACCAAAACACCCGATCCCCACACCATTCAATTAAAGGTTTAGGCTAAATTTCCTGTTATGGTCTCCTATAGTCCAACCAGATTTCCTCATGTTTTAGGACAAACAAAAACACAATTAAAGAGTTATTAGAACATCTTAGTCCCTTACAATGTAATAAATCAAGACTTGAATCCTCAGTGAAGATGTGTCCAGATGGAATATATTTTTTTTTAGCCATATAAAATTACTGTAATTTATTAGTATGATGTGCTACATGCATCAAAGAAATTATGAATACGTTTAAATTTAAAAAGTTTTAGCAATATTTGGCTAATATATATTATCTCTGATCATAAATAAGGAGTTAATATAATGAATAAAGCTTCGGGAAAAAAAAAATTCATTGGCACGTTCTTACAAGAACAATCACAATTATTTATTATTTTTACACATCTATCTATGAGATAATAGATCGTATACGTGTTTATTATACCATTTATATCAAATCTACGTGCCCTTGCGAACCAAACCCCCGGGGGGGGGGTGTTTATGCGGCCATTATACGTTATTGGACGAAAACTTTGACTGTTGCACCGTTTCAGTTCATGGATTAAAGCCATTCCTTGACTCTACGAATTCAAGCCCCATTCGCTTCAAATCTCCATCCATATATCCGAAAAGCATTAAACGATGAAGATGATCACAGTGCTAGCATTGGTCCTTATCATCGCCTTGACCACAAAGCCGATGCTCGGAGCTGCCCCCGCTGCCGGCCGGGCGACTCCAGAAGCAGTACTTGATAGTTGATACTACAGGGAAGAAGCTCCGAGTTGGCGCCTATTACTATATCGTTCCTGATGATCCGGCCCAATACGGTGGCGGTATTGATGTCGCAAGCATAGGCCAAGATTGCCCACTTGATGTTGTGGCTAGCTATCAAGGCGAGCCAGTGTCGTTTACCCCTTTTAATACGAACAAAGGTATCGTTTATGTGTCTACTGACCTCAACATTGAGTTCAATGCTGAAACAGATTGCCCTCAATCCAATGTGTGGAAGCTGGACGACGATGATTATTATTCCTCTGGGCAGTGGTTCGTAACAACTGATGGCGTTAGAGGAAAGCCAGGTGCCGGCACTGTGAGGAATTGGTTTCAGATTGAGAAGTATGAGAATGCTTATAAGCTGGTTTATTATCCTCATGTGTGCAGAGATTGCAAGGTTCAATGTAAGAGTATTGGGTTGTATCATGATAGCAACGGAAACAAGCGACTTGGTCTGAATGATACGCCTCTGAAAGTCCAGTTTAAACGACAGCCTCGGAACTCTTAAAGACTTCGAATAATCCATCAATTATATCCCTTTATATCTCCCTTGCTTGCTTTTACTAATAAGGATAGCATTCCATATATATGCATGTCTTTATAATGGAAGAAATAGATTCATGAATATATCAGCAAGTTTTACCTTTGGTAAGATTTGATATTTTGGAAGTTGTTTCAAGGTCAGATGATGGACTTGGCCCGCTATAATATAGATGCGCGCGCGCGCACATATTATTTTTGCTTTTAGTTATGACACCTTGTTTTGCAACATTTTTAAAGGTGTTACTTCGTAATATGAATTTTTTTCTTATATAATTCAGAGTATTCTCAAGTCACTTCACGTCAATAATTTTTTGGCTTTGATTTTCCTGTAGAGCAAAAATAATAGACAGGATAACAATTAAATAAAGCATCCAATGCGGTTGTGTTTCTAAAATCTAATTCATTTTTTTCTTATACATGTAGTTTCAATTCTTGTTGTTAAAACTATAGTTTTATAGTGATGAATTAACATACCTTTGTTACAGTAAATGTTGTTGCATATATTCAAAAAAATAACTAAAAACTAATGAAAATAATTTTAAGAAACCAACTCATTTTTTACACGTAATTAATAGCATTTAATGTTGCTCTGGAAAATGAGTAACTAGAATCTTTAGTTTTATGGGTTCTATCATAAGACATATATATACATACATATATATATATATATATATATATAGGTCTTGCGGCACATCTAATTTCATTGTCCATATCTTATTTAGACGGTCTAAATCATATTTGTTAATTTTATTACTTTCTATAAGGGGATGATAAGACAATATAATTACTATATATGTACTATATGTTCTCAAAATAAAAATGAAAAAAGTAAAAGATAAAGTGAGACGCGCATATGGGCAGAAAGCTCTACCAGCTTATTTATTTATTCGTTGTTTTATTAGTTGGAGAGAGCAGGACATAAGAACCCTACTTGGGAAACCTATAAATTATGCATTATTCATAAAATTCTTGTTGATGAAGCAATCTTCAGGCTCTCTGAAACTGAACTTTGTATGGGGAATCACTCAAAGCAAGACGATGGTATCCCTCACTATCAACATATATACCAATATCCTTGCACTGGACAGTACAGTTACTGCACACAGTTGGACAGTACATTAACTTATAGCTGTCTTCATACTTCTCAATCTTGAACCAATTGTTCACCGTTTGCCACCCAGGATTGCCGATGACCCCACCCGTCGTCACGAACCACCGTCCAGTGGTATCATCGTAGTCGTCGAGCTTCCACACGTTGGACTGAGGACAATCTGTATCACCAGAGAACACAACGTTGAGATCCGTAGAGACACGAACGACACCTTTCTTAGGGTTGACGGGTGTGAACGACAATGGTAGGCCTGAATCGCCTTGGACAACCACAACATCTAGTGGGCATTCTTTCCCTATGCTTGCAAGAGAAAGCCCACCGCCGTTTGGAGTTGCCGGAGCTGGAAATACGTAGTAATTGGCTCCTGCTCGGAGCACTTTGCCGCAGGTATCAACAACCTGTTCTGGTGCTGCATCGGCGGCTCTAAGCAGTGGCTTTGTGGCGAAGGCGAAGAGAAGGACGAATGCTACAAATGTGATCTTCATTGTTTGATCTGAATGCTCACAAACTATAGCTTTCTTTTTGGTTTGATTATTGCTGATGGGAGATGATGAGAGAATTGAGCATGAATTTATAGTTACAGTGATGGTGGAGTCTATGGACTTACTTGCACTTATTGTCAAGGATTTCGAGTTATACGATTGGCCGTAAGGATATAAACTCTTTCCACTTAAAGTTGCTTTCCAATGAAAGTAGTGTTTTCTCGCCAGTTCCTGCCTAACAGTATACTACTTTCTCCGTTCATAAAGCTATTTTAAGCCATTTATTATGAACTATGGATTGTACAGAACATAGGAAGTTCACATCTAATTTTATACTCCTCTGGTCCTTAATATAAGACCTAATTATTGAGTTGATTTTAGTTATAAATATAAGACCTATTTATCATATTTATCAATTTTTTTCTAAATTATCTCTATGGATATTCCATCAACCATAATCAAGTAGAAGAGGAAGGAAAGATATTAAGAAAGATGATTATGGTGTTTTAGGGAAAACATACCATATTTCTTATAATTAACTAACTTACCTAACATTCTTAATTTAACCAAATTAGTTAAATAGGTTTGGAGGAGTATTAAGTAATTTAATGCAATGTATGTCCAATTCCCTACAAGCAATAGGAAAGGTTTTATATATATGCGCGCGCGCCCATCTACATAAACACATTTATTTTTAATTTTTCGTCAAGACGCTCCTAAATTTCGGATTAGGTTTTTAAAGTTCAAAGATTAACTTTTTATTTTATTCTTGATATTTTTTCAATGAAAAATCTTTAGGTTGGGATCTAAACTTTTCGTAACATCTAAAAAAATAATTTTTTTGAATAAATAAATTTTCATGAGTCGAATAATGTTTACCGTTATATTTACATATTAATAAACCCCTTATAATAATCATAAGATTTGAATCTATGTTGGGCATCACTAGCTCTCTCACATTGGATTCTCAACTGCAAATTTAAGAGTTACATTTGAAACTTAAATGTCTTATTTATATACTCCTGAATTTGTAGTTTTTTTAACTTTATCAAGTTCATTTTTGAAAAATTTATTCCTAGATCCTGAACTTATAAATGTTTTACTCTTCCGGTCTTTAACGTGGGACTTAATTGTTGAGTTAATCTTAGTTCTAAATGTAAGATCTATTTCTCATGTTTATTTATTTCCCTTAAATTACTTTTATTAATACTCCTTCAACCATAATCAAACAGAAGAGGAAGGAGGATATTAAAGAAGATGATTATGATGTTTTAGAAAAAAAAAAAAAACATGTCATATTTCTTATAATTAATTAATTTACTTAACTTTTTTAATCTAATCAAATTAATTAAATAGGTTTTACATTAAGAAACAAAAGAGTATTTTAGAAGACCTTGAATATGTGAAATTATTTTTGAAGGTCATTCCCTGCAAAAATAATAAACCTGCATTATAGTTTAAAGCTGCTAAAACAACTAAAGAGTGGTATATTTTGGCTCTTCTGAAAAAAAATAGATGCAGTATGTGCAAAAAGTTTCCACGGATTAATAGAGTAAAATAATATTGCATAATTTATTGCGAACTTAAATAAAAAGGAGAGATACTCATATGTATGAATATACATGCTTGATAAATTGAGAATACATCTCAATAGATTCCCTTTTTTTTTTTTTTGGGTGTGCCTAGATGCCTTATTCTTAAACGCCTCTGATAAATGACCTAAGTTCCAAGTAAAATGAAAATCATTTTAATATTTTAGGATAATAAATGACGAAACTTTGCACTTTTATGATTTTTAAAGAAAACAAATCAAAATTGCACAATTTTATCTTACTTAAGACATAAAGCCATATTATATGACACATCAAAACATCTACCCAATGTTTTAAAAGCCGGACCGGATATTAAACCGGAAAAGTCAGCGGGTCATGGTTCAAACGGTTAAATCGGTTAAACCGTTTGGTCGAACCGGTGCCATAATAATTAATTAAAAATATTATTTTATATAACAATATAGACATAATTAGTCAAAAATGATAAAAAAATAGTATAAATATAAATGTTTTAGATAAAAATAAAAATAGTAAGAATAAAATTTCAATTATGTAATAATTAGAATTATGTTTTTTTTTTTACAATGAAGTTAGTACTAATATCTACATGAGATGTTACATCGTATTGGGCATTTCAAATCTTAAAACAGGGGCATACTTTTTAAATTCATAAAAAATAAAAAATTGATATTTTTATTTATTTGTTAAAAATAATTTGAATATGAAATGCTTTTTTTCTTGATTTTTTTAAAAGATAAAATATTGACAAAAAAATGACGTTGGACGAAGGATAAGATACACCTGAAAAGAAGAAAAAGTTGCAGTGATGTCTGCTTTTATCCAGCGAATATTGCTGCAATGCAATTTTATATCCATCAGTTATTGTATAATTAAATGCATCCCTTTCTTCTTCACTTGTATCTTTCATTTTCGTCTTTCTTACTTCCTTTTTCCACTTTTCACGAACAAAACACAGCTACAAATCCATTTCGATTTCTTCTGTATGGAGTATGGAGCTTAGGATATAAGATCTTTGCTTCTTTTCTTCTTCTTTTCTGAGCATGAGTTTTTATGGGCAGTGGTTTGATACTCTCTCTCGTTTTCTTCCTCTTCCTTCATCTTTCTTCTTCATCTTTATCTTTCTTCTTCGTTGCTGGTGGCTGCCATAATGAAGAAAACTCAGGCCGGCCGGTTATTATAAAACCGTTCCGGGTTCCGGGCTAATGGCGGTTTCTGGCTCAAAAGCCGGCTCACAACGGCTCAAAACGGATTAACACTCAGAACGGTTTTTACATGCAACTCAAGCCGCCTTCACCTCCGGTCGACGGTTGATCCGGTCGGACCGTCCGGTCCGGTCCGGTTTTGAAAACATTGCATCTACCATTTTATAAATTTTAATGACAAAAAATTAATAATTAAGAGGTTAGAACTTAGAACATCATAAAAATATTAGAGGCCTCATGGCCTGATCACAACATTTGCCTCCATCCTTGATCATATAACTATCTGTCCATGCAATCACACATGTTATACTAAAACTATAACTATATATATACACACATATAGTACAGTCTCTTAATTTTTTTTTTTCTTATTGTTTTCTGTTCTAAGATGTTTGTCTCTAACTTCTATTAAATATATATATATATATATATCTTTTCTTTGATCCCTATTTTTTTCACATAAAATCATGCAGTTTGCCTTCGACAATTATATTTTATAATCTTTATTTGAATTTGCTTGAAATTATTTGAACAGGAATGTAATCCCTCTTTAATTTCTTTAGAACATTTGTAAGTTCTTGTAGTTTGGTACAATTTTAGTTTTTTTAACCATCTATCCTGACCTTAAATTTTAAACTTTGAAGCTTTATCCTGTTTCCTTTTATTTTGGTCCCATGGTATCAGAGGACTTTAAAAACTCTGTTTCTATTTTCTTCACTGCCTTCTTTTCTTTCCTTTCTTTGACTACCATTTTGCTTTTCTTCTTTCCCTTCATACTTCAAAAGTTGCCTCTACCATCTCTCATCCATGCTACAATTGCCTTTCCTATATTCATCTGAATGAAAATGTACCACTAATATTTGTCTCTTCTCCTAGCTACCTTCTCTTTCTCGTCTTATATCAGGGTCAGGATCTCATTTTTCTCCGCGCACTTAATTTTTTTTCTGAGATAGCCAAACACGCTCTTTGTGTTCTTCTGTTAGAAAAGGAAAAAAAAATTAGGACAAATAGAGCAACAAAAAATCATAACGAGACTATCAAGAATGAATGATGAGAATGTAAGGGTATTGACTTAAATGAGTTTTTTAATAGTATAATGGATGAAGTAAACTATGCCTTAAACTTAACTGCAAATACGAAGTGCAATGCAATATGTGAACCTTAGAACAATCAACAGGAACTACATCCATCTTCTAATGGACAAATGTTTAAGGCGGCTATGATTGATATTATTGTGCAAAGCTATGAAACAATGATGAAAGGAATTAAGAGATTAGTTGAGCTCATAAGAGACAATGATAATTCTATTCAAGATAAATCTATTTCTATTGCTAAAAAAGATCTCACAATACTTGAAAAGAGTAGTCCTCTCCATTGAAAGGAAGTATGCACTGAGCTTAAAAAATTGAAATAAACGAAGATTGATTAGCAGCTAAAATACCACTTCTTGTATAGGAAAGAAAATACCAAGAGAACATCTTTTGGGGTTCCACATCACATGAGGCTACAGGCACAGGCACTAGTTAAGTTAACGACTAATGCTGAAATTTATTGAAAGAAGCAGCCATTTGTTCGAATGCTTTATGTATTTTTCCTTTAGTAAGGAGAATTTTAGACCTTCGATTCTTCTTTTTTCGCGGTATGACTTCCCTTATTTGTAATTTTGGTACTTGTGGATCTTTTGTTAAGACAAGTTCAACAAGACTTATATACCATTTTACTTTTGAGTTGGAAACTGAGCTCCTTTCCTTGTGCAAATGATCGATGGTCTAAATTCTGAGAATGAGTGAAAAAAATTATTTATGATTAGTGAAGACTTTTGCTATTTTCTCTATTAATTTCATGCTTATGATTAGCTGATGTATTCTTAGCCCACTGGGCATAGATAGTCTAATTGTTTTGTTGGAATACAGTTCCCATTAGAGCAGCCGCATGGGCTCCGTTAGAAAGGTTAGTGTTTCAAGACGCGTTAATTGCATTCAATATATTTAAATGAAAAAGGTATATTTTCAATTTAAAATAATCTTGAATTCTTATAGAATATGAATTTTTTTTCCTTCTGTTTTTTGATGATGAAATGAATCTTTTTCCCTACTTTTGATTCTTTCCTCCCCCCTCCCTTTTCTTTCTGCTTAATAGAGATGACTCTATGCTCCAGCTACAATCTAATCTCCAAGAATTGGCACAAATGCGTACTCTGAAATCTATGGGGAGCTTTATTTTCTCCTGTTGGTTTAATTTCCTTGGATAATATCATTTCTTGTTTTGCGTTCTATTAAAAAAATTGTAAAAGTATAGTTTGTCCAACTGATGTGAACTCTCTTTGACTTTGCGGGGACATCTTATTCCTATGGATGGATGCAAACCTTCTGCTTGCCCCACTTCAAAAGATATTATTGTCATTATGACATTTATCTTTATTTTAACTTTCTCTTTATTATTAGTTTAGTTTGTGCACAACTATATTTTACTTAATATTTTGATTTTAAAATCAAATATAAAAATAATTTCATTTTAATTCGATGGTTTTAATTTTTTATTGGAATTTATTTTCATGGCATGATAAATCAAACAAGAGTATTGTCATTGTAAATGTTAAACACTTTCTTTTCTTTTTTATTTTCTCCTTTCTATCCAGACACGAGGATAGAAAATAAATATCATCCCTCCAATTTTCTCTCACCTCTATTTTCTCCCGCTTCCATTTTTTCTTATTCTTATCCTAGTTTTCTTCCCATTTAAACATAGTGTACTTTTATTACACGTAACGAATGTTGCCTCAACATTCTCCCGAAAGCATGCATATTTAATCTGAAAAGTGCTATCCTTCCAAATGGACCTTTAGCTCTGGCTGAACAAAGAATTATTGAACAGCAATATATACTCAAGCCTGCCGTTCTTTTGGCTTCACTTCCTAAATTACATTATGCAGCAACCAATATTTGCTATGTTACAAATCAGTTTGTAAAATCAATCAATTTTCACAAGGCTCAATGCGCCTGTTACTATCAAAGTACTGACAGTTTACACCATCTAGCCTTTCATTAAATTTTTCTGCTAGCTTTGACCATTCAGCTTTTATATTTGCTTGGGTTTTCTTAGCCAATTCCCACTCATCTCTTAAGTGTGGGGCTTGTTCTTTCAACTCATCTCTTTGTGCTTTAAGGGTCTTTCCTTCCTCGAATGTTTCCCTCTTTCTCTTCGTTGCCGTGGTCTTAGCTGACTGAAAAACACAGATGTTTGCTTTAATGCCACTCAGCTGCTCTTCCAATTCTTTCTTTCTTTCCTCCAAACCGGCTAACTGGCTGCTTAACTCGTTTTCTAATGATGCTAGTTCTTTAAACTGGTTCTTGTTAGCTTCAAGACTTTCTTCTACTTTATCTGCTTTCAACAGGTTCGTGCTAGCACACTCAATTTGCCGACCAGCATTATTATATTCAGAACTCCACTGAGTAAATCTTTTCGAAACTTCTGATATTAATAAGCGCACTTCCAGAGAGATCCCATCATATACTGTGAGGTTGGAAAGGTACTCTAAGGTGGACTTCATCGAATTGCGCTGCTCAGAATGCAATACAACGGAAAAGTCTTTGGAGAGGAAGTCTTGCAATGTTTTCAAAGCTTTCTCAGTCTCTTCGCATGGAGGGGTTCTTGGCAATTCACTGCTGCCCCTATTATCTTGGGGAGGTGACACAACTGAGGTCTCAGCATCCAAGGAAGCATAAAATGCTCTCATTTCTGCATCATCCAATGTTAGATCGATCTGGCTTTTGGGAGAGTCAGTGTTAGCCAATCCCAAAATGGATTTGGTTTTTGGATGTTGTTCCCTCCCAGTAGCAGAATCAGTAATGATCGATCCTTGACTATTTGGTGTCTCAGGCAAAGAAGTGACAAGGGATGCAGGTTCAGCCTTTAACGGGTGAGCCATATATACTGTGTTTGGTCCAAATTCTACAAGTTAGCAGAGATGGAAAACGTTAATTCAGTGGAATTGCCGGTTGACAAATGGTACTACCAGAACACATCAATCAGAAAGTTGCAATTATAAAGTAAAGACAAAATAGAGTTTCTCACAGCCAACATATATATGAAGGGGAATTCTCTCCTCGATTCGATTTGGATGTTAGTATCTTCCTATTTGTCTGTGGGAAAACATTAAAACTATGCATTGTCTTTTCTTTGAAACAAGTAAGCCGTTCAGGTATTTGGGCTACATTACGAGTTGTGCGGTATTTCTCATTTGTTTCTTCCAGTCCCTCTGCGATTGACCACCAAACACCAGCCTTCCACCAAATAAATAAGTTCTACCAATACTGTCTCACAGTTTGACCTCCCAGAACGATAACTTCGTCATTCAGAAGGTGAATCATGAGCTGCCAACTATTTCTTGTCTTTCCTTTCACCATTGGCATCACAAAAGCCAGAAGCAAGAAAGCCTTTTTCTCACTCTAAAAGTCGGCTTATTTTCCTCCAACCCCCTCATTCTTCCCCTCTCCAGTATTACAAACAACCCAACGACCAGCCGTTTTCATTTTTATTGCCTCCTATATCAGCATTAATGAACAGACAAGTTAACTACTTTTCTCAACCCAACTGTCAGCCAGCATTCCAATTGACAATAGTAATCATGAGATATAAATCAACATCACATTATGACAAATTGAAATTCACTTTGGAATGAATCATTTTATTATTATCAATACAAACCAAACTTCTAGAATCTTTTGAAAGAGTGAAATGGTAGGTGCTTACCAATTTGATCTTTATCTCATTTCTTTTTTATATCAACCGAGCTTGGAATCATTAAAAACACATCTTCATTAAAGTAAAAACACACAGATATTCAAGCATGCGTAGTTCCTTAAGTAGATATCAACTTTAGCATCCTCTCAAGTAGCAGCAGTAGATGATGTACTTCTGATGCTCTATTATGAATACTTTAATCTTCATGGTTTCTATACTGTTATGTGATATATTAGTGACTCAAAGCAGACGAGACTATAACCGATACTTGTATGGGGGATCCGTTAGATGTACATAACCAACGCAGCCTATAACTGATGCACTGCTGTGTATTGTTCCTCTCATTAAAGAATATTATAATCAAACTAAATAAAAAAAAGTTTTAAAAATTAGTGAATATGTTTGGAGATAAAATGAACTTGGGGGCTAATATTTCACATTCATAGAGAATGTATGCTTACCTTTGTCAATACCTACGTCCTGAACACGTGGTAAAGTCATTAGCTCTTGCTCAACACCATCCCCTGTTTTTGGACGCTTGACACATCTGACTATGTGACGCTTTAAATGAGAAGTTCCGCAGTTATCTTGCAACAACCTGCCACAGTGTTTGCATTGAACTTTACTACCATCGCTTGTTTGAATTTTGAGCATATCTTCCCATACTTTAGAAGTCAGTTTTGATCGCTTGGAACTGTTAAATTCTTCATATTCATACTCTATGTCAACACTTGTATTCTGCTGTGTCATTATGTCCTGTTGAACAATAATACATATATTTAGCAAAGCAACCGGATTTTTAAGGGGAGAAAAAATAAATATCTAATCGTACATAACAGTGACATTTATACTTTTCATGTAAGACAAATTTGACACCCTCATATTTAAGCTACAGCCAAGCCAACAGAGCTTTTATATCAGATGCCTTAACAGATGAAACGTACTTTCAAATTTTAAAATGAATAAAGAATCTACGAATTAAATTATTAAGACATACAACTGCCATCAGTTCAGTGTATTTTCACCTTCTACAGCAAGTTAAAAAACAGAGAAGTATAACCTACCATCAAAGATAATAACTTTTCTAAATAACATTTGTGAGGGAGGGAAAAAAAAAAAAAAGGGTACAGTCATAGTAAATGCATGAAATTATAGTATAAGTAATGAGAACCGTAAGTTAGATGTAAAATCCAACAGCCAAGAAAAATATAACAGAATTATTCTTCACTTTTTCCCATAAAATTACAGAATACAATTAAGAAGCAGGACCTAGCCAGAAAATTGGATACTTTACCATTCAATTGTTATGCGGACAACAGTGAAAAATGATTCCTCGATGACATCTTAGTTTGAAGGCCATTAATCACTATCTTATTTCCTAGCAATCTACATACACAAGCTTAGAAACTTGCAAGAAACTATCGTATCAACATGCATTCCCTCATGCAAGAGAGCCATCAGGAAAAGAAAAATATATAACTTCTAATATGATGTTATTGAGTTGCAATTTCCCACCAATCTTATATAACTTCAATAAGTGACAAAAGGAAGATAAGGTCAAGTAACCTGAAAGTCAAACTTTTTAGTCCAATTATTAAAAAAAGAGAGAGAGAGAGAGAGATCAACGGATTAACCAAACCAAACTTCTTTTTTTCTCAACAATCCATCTAGTTAAAGTTAGAATTTGATAATATGTCAACAGAAATTGTGAGGAACATTTTAAAGCAAGATAAGAAATTTCAAATGTTCGTACAGTTTGGTCCTCTCCACTCCTAAATCACTACAACCGTGTAGAATCACTTCAGTTTAGTAAGTTAAGTTGTGGCAAACAGCACTTTAAATATTCAAAACTTTCGTGCTCGATAATTCTGAATGAAAATTCACCAACGGATTACATTCCAGAGGCATTCGCTCCAAATTTTGCTATACTCATATGAAGCCACTATATCTTCCCCATCATAAACTAAATTTATAATCAATTGAAGGCACCAAATTTAAACTCCCTACAATATCATTTTAGCAAGGGAGCAATCAAAGAAGGGAAATATAAATTAATCGAAGATCGAAAGGAAAATGAAAATTATGTGCCTACTTTAGAATACGAGAGAATCTTTTGCCTACGTTCTGCTGCGGTATCCAGCAGTGCTAATACCGTCTCCAAACACCTCGACCGGCCGCGACGGAGACCCCTCAATGTCGTCAGATTTTGAGAAACGAGAATGGCAGACAGAGGTAAGGGCCGGAAAAAAACCGCGGGTCTGTTATCCAGCAAGCCAGGCTGTGGGCTTTTGGGCTTAAGCCCAGGCATCGTTCATCCCTTTTTATACATATGGTCTTTTATCATCCTTGTTGACCAAAATAAATAGATTACTTCTATAAATACTACATCTGGTTCTTAATATAAGATCTTATTTAATTTTTATTTTGATTTTAAATATAAGATTCAAATTCACTTTGTCTCTCATATTTATGTATTTTTTTTAAGATAATCCTTCTAACAATAATAGTTCTAGTCAGTACATTTGATTAGTAAGGATATTTTAGGAAAGACAACACATATTTATTATAAATAACTAACTCAAGTTCTTTTCTTAATCTTCTCAAATCAGTTAACTAACTCTTATAAATAAGACTGAAAGTAGTAGTAATTTATGAGAGAATAATATCTCTACTAACCCTTCTCTCTACTCGAGCGGAGTGTCTCCATTGCATGTTGTCTCCACTTTGTCTCTATGTAAGTAAAACGATGCCATTTTGCAACTTTTCAGCAGTCCCACATTTTTTATGCATGCAAATGCAGTGACACCGTTTTCCTACAGAACTGATCTGGTGTTATATATTAAGGAAAAACAATTTATCGCAGTCGCCCCCGTGGTCCTCCTCATCGTTGCCCAGATCTCATTGTCATTTGGAGGGGTGAGATTCCACTTATGAGATATGATACGCACTTGCTCCCAACCCATGAACCCCAACAACGAAGTTGGGTTTTATTCCCAAAACAATTTCAAATCCGTCCTTCTGACCTTCCCTTGTTTTCACTCTTCTGTTGTCACATCCCTTCTCTGCTTAATCCTCATCTAACAAGATCAGTTTCCCAAGTTTAGGTGTGTTATTTGATGGCTTCAAACATCAAAGTAGAAATCAGATTTTTTGCAGCAAAATGGGGTCACTGCAAGAATAAAATTCTTAGATTGTTGAAAGGATAAAAAATGGTGCCGTTTTATTTAAATGGAAAGAAACAGGAGACAACGTGTAATGGAGACATTCTTTACCACTCTCCACTTCCTCTCTATTTAATGTTTTCATCATTAGATTAAACTTTAATGGCTAAAATTTATTTTATAAAGATATTATTAAAATATTAAATATTAAATAATAAAAATATATAAATAAATTTATACTGTTAAGTGTTAAAATTTGATATAAGTTGTTTAATATAATAAATTTTTATTATATTTAATATTATAATAATATTTTTACTCAATTTTAAATCTCAGCTATTGGAAGTTAATCCAATGATAGAGAAATTAAGTGAAGAGGAAGTGGAGAGAGAAGTTAGTGGAGACATTCTTATCCTAAGATTTATCAGCTATTTTTTCATAAATTTAGCATTGATATTAAAATGACTATACATCTTCATTTTTATAAAATAATAAATAAATTAACTGACAATTGTAAAAACTCAGTATTTTTTAAGAGTTACTATAATTTTGAGAAAATGACACAAAATGATACTTAAACTCGGAAATCTCAAAATAGTCACTTGAATAAGCAAAATCTTAATTTAGGCATAAATAACTTATGTGAGATTTGTAAATTTATTGAAATGACCATATTATCTTTTTTTTATTGTTCTTAAAAAACTAAATGCCCTCGTTGGCTAACTGGTTGCAGGAGCTCAGGTGCCCACCGTCACTTGAGCTCCAGTGGTCGATTGACAATCAGTCACCGGAGTTCAAATAGGTGATAACTATTTTTTTGAAAATTTTTACAATTTTAATAACATGATTAACAAGTTTTGTAATGCTATTACCAAGTTCACTATAGTAGTTACTAACAGGCTTTTCAGAAAATTCAAAAAGTAGCATTTTTATAATTTCAATAATGTCATTAACAAGTTCCATAACATTATTAACAAGTTCGGTATAACATTTAATAATAGGTTTTCTAAAAAATTCAAAAAGTGATATTTTTATAACTTTAGTAACACGATTAACAAGTCATGTAACGATATTAACAACTCTCATAAAAGTTAATGTTTTTAATATTAGCTCCATGTAAAGGTTGTACAACAAAAATTTTTCCACTTATTAGATAGTCATTATGGTTATGAGAATTGTTAATATCGTTACATGATTTGTTAACCTCGTTATTGAAGTTATAAAAATGCCACTTTTGAATTTTTTTTAAAATCTGTTGTTAAATATTATATTGAACTTGTTAATAGAGTTACAGAGCTTATTAACGGCATTACTAAAATTGTAAAAATGCTACTTTTTGAATTTTCTGGAAAACCTATTGTTAACTGCTATACTAGACTTGTTAATAGTGTTACAAAACTTCTTAATCGTACTACTGAAATCGTAAAAAAAATAGTTGCCGGCCACCAAAGCTTCGGTAAGGACAACCACCTGAGCTCCAGCGGCCTCCGCCGGCACCGAAACTTTAGTGACCAACCAGCCAATGAGGGTATTTGGTTTTTTTAAAAACAATAAAAAAATAAAGGATAATATGATTATTTCAACAAATTTGCAAATCTCAAATTGGTCATTTATACCTACAAGTGACTATTTTGGGATTTTCAAGTTTAACTGTCATTTTTGTGTCTTTTTTCCTATAATTTTTGGTTAAGTTTATCCTCATTTTGGGTTTAGTCTCCTAAGTTTCTTTTTATTTAAAATATTGGTCCCTATAATTTAATACTTCCTTTGTCTCTTTTTATAAACAACAACTATCACCTCTCCCTTATCTCTAAATATAAGTAACATTTTCAAGTTGCTTTAAAATTTGAGGCAAATTTTCTATTTCTTTCTCATTAATTACTTATTTTAATACTCAATATATTTATTATCTTATTTTTCAAACTATTATCTCTCTCTATAACACATTCTTTCTGTTTCATAATTCTCTTATTTTAATAATTTTCTTATTCTCTTTCTTATATTCTTTACCCCATAAATAAGGGTGTTTTGAAGGAAAAAAATTTCAATTTCTCCATATTTATTATTTTAAACCTATTTTAACTAATATTTTAATATACATGTAAAAATATGAACTATTTTACCCTTTGAGGTATCAAAACCTATGATTTAAAACTTAAAGGATTCAAATCAACGTTAGGACAAACTTGAGAGACCAAAGATTATATTAATCTATTTTTAAATAAGGTTGAGGGTTTTGAATAGTATAGATAAAATCAATTGTAGTTGGGGAACTATCTGTTCGGATTAAAAAATACTTAAATTTTAATTAACAATAATATTAGATACTATATTAGTTGCTGTGGAATGTTATGAGGATATAACTAAATTCTTCAAGCATAGACGATGAGAGAGCCAAACAAGCTACTTGTCTTGAATGGATCTTTTGATTTCGATCATTACAATCAGCAAAGAAGTCCTAATATGTGACACATATCTTTCATTGAACAAACATATTCTACATTTACTCTTCAAAGTTGGAGTGAACTTGACATCATGTGTTCAATAATTTATTTCTATTCCTAGTACTTCCTCTTACATAACAGACCATATTTCACTCAAAAACACCTATATACGCTTTTGTTGTTTATTTTCTCTCCAAGTTTTGACCATTCGGTACTGATATTTGCGTGGATCTCCTTGGCCAGTGCCCAGTCATCTCTCAAGCGTGGCAATTGTTCTCTCAACTCATCTCTTTGAGCTAGGAGAAGCTTTCCTTCCTCAAAAATTTCTCTCTTTCTCTTAGTAACCATTTTCTCAGCTGATTCGAAAGCCCTGATATCAGATTTAATGGCGTTGATTTGATCCTCCAGCTCTTTCTTTCTCTCCTCCAAATAGGCCAATTGGCTGTGCAGCTCATTTTTCATGGTCATCACCTCCTTGAAATGGCTCTTGTTAGCTTCAAGACTTTCAGTTGTTTCATGCATTTTCAACACGCTGGCTTCGGTAATCTTCATTTTCTTGCTTGCATTGCTATAATCGCAACTCCAATGAGTAAATTCTCTTGAAACTTCTATTATCACTGATCTCATTTCTATTGACACTCCATCATCTGCAGATAATCCAGAGAGGCAATCCAATGTAGCTTTCATGGTACTATAATTTTTAGGCTCCAACATTTCAGAAAAATCTTTGGTGAGAAATTCTTGAAATGTCTTCCATGCTTTTTGGATTCCTTCACTTGGTTTGATATCAGTTTTCAATTCAGAAATAGATGTGATATCTTTTGAAGGTAATGGAACAAAGATCTCAGCATCTAAAGAAGCATAAAATGCTTCCATTTCCTCATCATCCTGAGTTTTGTTTATCTCATTTCCCTTGCATTCAAGCATTTGGCTATCCTCTGCCTCACAGGCTTCCCAGTTATCATTCACATTGTGACAATTATCTTTGAAGACTTGAAAATCTTCCACTGACTTGTTATTACTAGTGAGCTTCTTCAGTTCAGTCTCTTTGTTATCAGATTCTGTGACAGAATCAGAATCCAAATAGGGGTCTGTGAATCTGATCGCATTTTCTTCTTGTTGGATTACATGTATCCCACACCAACTCACAGTTACACTTGGAACTTCAGACATTTTTTCACAAGAAATCTCCACCTGATTCCAGTTATCATCCAAATAAGAATCAAACGCTTTCCCCTGGAAGGGAGGCAGCGTTCGCAAATCAAATAGCCAAACATGATCTGTCACCATTTTTGCGAAGCTTGTTGGTATTTCCAATTCAAACAATTCTTCACCATTAATGAAAAAGCGAACTTCGCAACTGAAACCCTCCTTCTTCATTTCACCCTCTACTGCAAAAACATAACATAGGGCAATCACTGGAAATTTCTCACGAACCCAAAATGTCATATATTCTTCTTTGCTGCAGAGATCAAACCATGTCGGAATGCTTGCTCCAGGCACAATAACATGTAACTCCCTTTCCTGAAAGGTATCCTGTGAAATAAGAAAAAAGGTAAGAAAATGTGAGGCACAAAAGATTAAAAGAGAAGATCTGACTTCACAGATACAAACCTGACTCAATAATGAACTTGACGACTCTCTATTCAATGATGTGCAATTACTTGCATCAATGAATCGTAAATTGGGAGGTAAGGTTGGAATTTCTTGGAGAAACTTGCAACTGTTTAAGTGAAGTAATTGCAAGTAAAGAAACTCCTGTATGCAGGATGAAAGCATTTCAAATTTGTTCCCTGAAAGGTCTAGTGAAGTCAACTTTGGAAAAGAGTGTAAAATTATGGGAAGATCTTCATCCAATAGGCCACAATTTTCTAGATTCAATGAATCAACATTATGGAAGGTAGGGGTATGCTGTCCCATGTCTTTCAATTTCTTCAAAAAATTTCGAAGTTGTGGACAACCCTCTATGTTAAGGTTTCTTAGATTTTGTAGCATGTCAAGGCTTTCTGGTAGTTCCTTGAGACCTAAGCAAGATGTCATGCATAGTTCCTGAAGTCCAATAAGGTTTCCAATGGAAGCTGGTAATTCTTCTATGCCACTACTTTCAATAGAAATGGATACGAGATTGTCCATTTTTCCTAAGATATCTGGGAATCTTTGAATGCTTGAACACCATATAAGGATCAGACTTTTGAGTGATGGCAACCTAATGGCACGTGGAAATGCCCTTAGTTTGGTGCATCCAGAAGCCCTCAACTCGACAAGTTTATCAAGAAATCCAACAGAATCATCAACCTCTTCTAAATTTGCACAATAATCAAGATTTAATTCTGTCAAATTTGGAACTCCAGAAATGTCAGGAAGTTTTGTTAAGTGATCGCAGTGGCTCAAATCCATAGATGTCAAAGAATCAAAATACTGCAAGTCAAAAATTGAATCACTATCAGATGCATGTTTTGAAGAAGCAGATGAAAAAGGAATTAAAAAAGCATCAGCAACAATGATATATACCCTGAATGGCTCCTGCATGGCAAAACAACTACGAGATAAGTTGAGTCCAACAAGTTTCTTTGGACGAAAATTAGATGGTAATGATGAGGAGGGGTATTCCATCCAATCAAGCAATCTTAAATTGTTTGGAAGATGTTGAGGGCTCCCAAAAATGTGTGCGTTCTTAACTATAAAAATTTTCATATTTCTCATCCTTTTAAAGGTGCTTGCTGTCAAGTGTACCATATAATGATCTGGGAGGTCCACCATCATGCCTTGAATTTTCCTTGATCCCTTTATGACGCAGCACAAGGAAATGACATAGTTAGGAATTAAAAAAAAAAAAAAAAGAGGAATAAACCGACCAAGTTCTTTATTAAACAAAACATTAAGAATGTCAAAAGCATGGCTCTTACAGTATTTTGAGTAAGTACTTCATAAACATCTTCAGGGTGCCAAATTCTACTTCGATTTCCAGGCTCTAATGGAGAATCTTCTCTTACAACTTCCCTTCCCATGTCTTGTATTAGATCATGCATTCTTAATTTGTTATACCGATCAATAGTTACAAGAGATCTATCAATTAGGACACCGATACCAATTTTTGGATAGAAACCACAAGCTTTTAGCGTCTTTTCAACATATTCTATCTACTGTCTCCCCTTTGAAGAAGCATGCAATGTCTAGGAAAATTTCTCTCTCATTCTCCTCCAAATTATCATAGGTTACTCTGAGTACATTCTGAACCTCTTTGTTGGGAATCTTTTCATATTTGTCCAATGCATCTTGCCACTCATCCACTGTTTTACCATACAAATTTGAACCCATTACTTTCAAAGCCAATGGAAGCCCTTCGGCATATAGCGCCACACGGTGTGAAATCTCAAAATAACCTGAATCCGGGGATTTTCTTTGAAGGCATTCCAAGTGAACAGTTCAAATGCTTCATCATGATGTAGCTTCTTTACCTCGTATGTTTTTTCAACTTGATGAGTAGCTAGTAAGTGTTTATCTCTTGTTGTGATCACAATTACACTACCAGAACCAAACCAATCATGTCCTCCTGCTAAAGCTTGTAGCTGCTCTAATTTGTCAACATCATCAAGAATCAAAAGAACTTTTTTGCAACACAATCTTTTCTTCAAAATGGGGATTCCTTTGTAAATATTTCCTAGCTTAATGTTCTTGTCTCCAACCAAATCAAAAAGAAGTGCTTCTTGGAGCTGTGCTAAGCCTTTTGGTTGATTTGAACTTTCTCTAATATCAGCAAGGAAACATGCAGCATCAAATTCATTGGCAATCAAGTTAAATAGAGCTCTAGCAATTGTTGTTTTTCCTATACCTCCAAATCCATAGATTCCTATCATTCGAATTTGTTCACCTGGCTCCATATGCAAAAGTGATTTCACTTCTGATAAACAAGTTTCTAGTCCAACTGGATATTCGGCAATGTGCATAAGGGTGTGATTTAATTTACCAGAGACCTCTTCAACAATCCTTTGAATAATCTCAAATTCATACCTGGCCAGTTACAAGAAAGAGTAGCCAATCACAAAACAAGTAGGTGGAGAATCACTTCTTTCTGTCATAAAATGTATATGTCCATATATAATATAAATAAATAAGAATCGTACTTTCATGAGTTATGAACAGTGCAACTCACTTTAAGTTTTGTAAACACATTTTTGCACAAACCAGCAATCTATTTATGCTCAATCCTTTTCTGTATTTTAATGGCAATATCCTGTATGTTAATGAAGCAAGATATATTTAAGGACAAAGGAAGATCCCAAAAAAAAAAAAAAAGTAAAGTCCGCACAATTCACTCGGATATGTACAAGAGCCTTGATAACCACTTAGAAAATGAACCAAGGATTTGATTCATCATTTGTTATGTTTTATTTAAGAACTTTTAACAAAAACCTAAAAAACTCTGCAAGCTTTTTTCCAATTATTTTGCAGGAGAAGAATCAATGGCTTACCCGTTTTCTAAGCTCCAACCAGACAAGTTAGCTGCTTCAGACAAAGCCAACTTCCACTTCTGCACCTGCACCTCTTCGTATTATTCTTGAACCTATCTCCATGCTTGGCCATGGCTATGCCAAAACTTCCCTTTTGATGGCGTACCACTGAGGGATCTACGTGGTGAAAAACTGGCAAAACCAATTGCCCCTTGACCTTCATGCAATCAAGGATCTTAACAAGCTCCTCCAGACACCATGTGGAAGATGCATAGTTTTCAGAGAATACAATAATAGAAATCCTTGACTCTTCAATTGCTTTCAGAAGAGATGGAGAAATTTCTTTCCCTCTCTTAAGCTCCTCATCATCTATGAATGCGTTAATCCCCTTCTGACGCAGAGCATGATAAAGAAAGCCGGTGAAACTTCTTCTGGTGTCCGTGCCCCTGAAACTCAGGAAAACATCATAGGTCCATCCTTGAGCGTAAGAACAAGATATCATAGCCATTCCTATCAGTTTTGGGAGTTCTTCGTTCAAACAGTACAAGACAGAATCAACAAGACTTTGAGGATTGGGATTGGCATATGATTATATAGAGAAAATCCTTACACATGCATTCATGCCTAACGCGTTCCGCATCTTTAGTAACAGCAAATGGTGGGGACATCAGTATTTAATGAATGTCATTATCAAGCATCGACCTTTTCTTTTATTTCAACAGAAAAATAAGTGGCTCATACCAATGGGTTCTTGGACTTTATTCGCAATGCTACTATGCTGCTCTGTTTATAAGTTTTGCCAACCAACGATGTTGATTTTTTTTTTTTTTGGGGGGGGGGCGGGGTTTGTCTAGATGGTATTAAATTTTCATTCACATCGTTATTTTTGGCCTGACAAGTCACATCATTTTTTTACCATACAATATCGTGAATAGATTGATTTTTCTTGCCAGAGGATGCCCATTTTTGGATTCTCATCTATGAAATGTGATTCAAAGTGATCTCTCTAGCAGGACCAAACAAAATAGTTTTAAACATTTTCCTCAGCAAACTTTGCTAGTTCTGTGAAAGTTCTAAGACCACATGACAGATGCAGCAAGGCTATGCTTGTCGGAAGGCTTCATATTCATCGGAACTGAGATATATCGAGTTTACATGGTAATGGTACTCTACTTTATATTAGAAGGATGTACCTTATTTTTGTTGAAGAAATAATAGGATAGAATATACTCCTCTGATCATTAGTATAAAACATATTTTGTAGTATAATTTAATTTGTATTATAAAATTGATCTTATATTTAGAACCGGAGGAAATAATTTTATAAAATTGTGAAATTTAAAAAGTTTTATTATTAACAATTTGAAATCAAAGGCATTATTTGCATACTATTAAAAATTCAATTATGTTCTGTGCAATATGGCAGAAGAGTTAATATAACCTGTCAAAATTTATGGAGATTTTGGTCATCCTTTAAAAAATGGATAGAATGGAATGGCGAGCACGCACAGGAAGTCACTAGCTGCATATGACTTTCTTTTGCTTTAATTATTATCATAAGCAAGGTCTAAAATCAGAAACTTCCAGGAAACCCATCTGCGTCAATAAAATAGAGAATATTGACAATCAGAAACACACTTTCGAGAAAAAAAAAAATCATCTAAAACAGGCATTTTGATTGAAGTGAAACGGCCTTTGAATGTGCTTCCACACACTGGGTAAAATAAAACAGAACCAAAAAAAAAAAAAAACAAAGAAAGAGAACCGATCTTGTGTTTTTTTCAATGCTCTTTTTTTTTTGTGTTTTCTTTTGAGTAAATATATACAGCACAATTCCTATCGTTTTAGCACTGATCTCCTGTGCTTAATATAAGAATTAAATAATTGATTTGGGTATTATTAAGAAAATTAGTTGAATTAGTAATAAAAGACATTATTTTTTCTAAAATATTTTATTAATCATATGTAATGAAACTACTCCCTTGTGGAAAATTCTTAACATGTATAATCATTAATCAACATAGAGATTACTTGAAAGAAAAATGGATAAATATTAAAAACCAAGTAAATTATGATCTTATATTTATGATCAAATTGAATCTGTAACTAACACTTATATTAAGAATCCAAGATACAATAGAATGTTTTTTAACAAACGTAAACAAGTACTCCTCCAGTTTTTAATATAGGATCCAATTTTGAGTTGGTTTTGATCCTAAATGTAAGATTCATTTCTCATATTATCAATTTTTTTCTAAATTATCCATATAGATACTCCCTCAACCATAATCAAGTAAAAAAAAAGAGAAATATTAAGAAAAATGATTATGGTGTTTTAGGAAAAATGTGTCACATTTTTTATAATTAACTAACTTACCTAACTTTTTTAATCTAATCAAATTAGTTAAACGGGTCTTATCTTAAGGACCGACGAGTATATTATTATAATTCGTCTGTGTTACCCTCAGAATAAATTTTACTTCCTTGGTTAGGATTAGTTGGAATGATCGTTGGTCCGAGGTCAATTT